GAGGACCAGGTGCCCACAAGGCCCGGCGAAAGATCAGAGGCTGGGGCTGAAGGGATGAGGGCAGGCGGCCACAAGCATTCACCCAGTGCCCCCACACTCTGGGCTCTAGGAATTCCAGACCGGGTCCTTACCTCAGGGGGCTTTCAGGCTGGTGGGGAAGACAGACACGGGGCAAGCACACCACTCTCTCCCATAGCTGGAAGTGCCCGGGAGAAGATGCACAGAAAGCTAGCTGCAGAAGGGCATAGCACAGGGGTCGTCAAACTTCTGTGAAGGTCTGGATTGTAAATATTTTAGGCTTAGTAGGCCACAGGATCTTTGTCCCAACCTCTCAACTCTGCCATTGTAGCATGAAAACAGCCACAGACGTTATGTTGATGGTGGGTGTGGCTGTGTTCCAATACAAACACAGGGTGGGCCAGATTTGGCCCCAAGTTTATCAGCCCCTGGTGTAATGAGGCCCGAACTGGTCTGGGGGTGGGGGTGGGGGTAAGGGTGGGGCAAAAGGCTTCCCTGAGGCAGCGACTTTTAGCTGAAGCCTGAAGGCTGATTCAGTGACAGAGGCAGAATCATGATATTGACAACATCATCATGATAAAGTAACACTTGATGAGTGTGTTCTGCATCAGGCACTGTGCTAAGTGGTTTTACACACGCAATCTCAATAAATTCCCACAACAACCCTGTGAGGGAGGTAGATATTATGCCCACTTTATAGATGGTAACACTGAGGCTTGGCAGGTATGCAGGGTGTTCTGTTTGCCCACTCAGATGCACTTTGCCCTGCTTGGTGCCCCTCCCAGGGTGCTGACCACTGAGATCATCTCTTGAATCCTCACCCCCAGCTTCCTGTTGTGTTTGGCCAGTGGGAGGCTCTGGCAGCAGACTGGGGGGCTGGAAGAGAGAGAGGTCAGGGGATTTCTTCCCCACTCCTTCCCTACGTCACCCTCCATGGCCGCAGCTCCTGGCAAGCTGCATGTCCTCCATGACTCAGCAATCACTGGGGTCAGTAACACTGTTCCTTCCCCGTGACCTCAGCTCTGCCCATGACCTCACGTGCCTTGCCATGTTTTATTGGTTCTGTTCATTAAAGTCTGGTTATGTGGAACATCTGAGGCCAATTCTGTCTCCTGTCAGAACTCTGATGGTGAATGGAGGGGAAAGAGAGTCTGGCTGCATCTTGAGGAGGCTGGGCCAGGGGCTGGCTCCTGGCTTCTGGCACTGGCTTCCATTTTAGGCAGGGGTCAAAAGAGGCCGGTAAGTGCAGCTCCTCCTTTCCTTCCCTAGGGCTCAATGAGTGACCCAGTTCTTGAGGCCCCTGATTAGCAATTTTAGTTTTCTGAGAGTGAGTGGCTCCTGGTCTACAACACTCTGGCCTTCTGCCTAAGCCTCGCAGAGGAAGCTAGTGTTGCTCACTGCAGACCTGGGCTGGGGGCTGAGGCAGGGCCCTGGTCTCTTCTTAGGGAGGAGGTGGTGGGGCAGCTGGTGGTGAAGGGAGGGCACCATTTGGGTCTCACTGATGCCCAGAGGAAGTCTCTGCTGCCATCTGCCCTGAGAGTGAGCAGCCTGCAGGCTTGTTGAATGGGGTGGCAGACAAGGGGCCTGGGCTGGAGGTAGGGGTGCAGGCACTAGGGAGGAGGGGGCTCTATGAAACTAAGGCATGAGGCTGCAGCAACAGGACCCCCTTGTGCTCTAGGCTACTGTGCATCATAGGCCCACCTGGAGCCTCAGCCTGGTTCTTCACCCATCCCTCCCTCCAAGAACCCTATGAGAGTTGAGCATCTACAGACAGGCATTATGCCAGGTGCTGGAGATTCAGCAAGGCCCATGTCATGCCCAGTGATCAAAGAATAATTACGAATTGTGGTGAGTGCCATAAAGAAACAGCTGAGATAAAAGTCTTCCTGAGTTTAAAAGGATGAGCATGAGCTGACTGAAAATACAAGGGGAAGAATGTCCAAGGCACAAGCACAGGGTCTAGGATGGGAAACGTTACAGAGGCCTTGCTACTCTCAGGCAGAGATGAGGCTAGAGTTTTGTCTGTGGCTGGAGAGAACCACTAGAGAGAGAGGCAGAGCTGGCCCTGCATGCCAAGGCTAACACCCTCCCTCCGTGCATTCCCATCTGTCCCTGCTCAATGGCTCCAGCATGCAGGGAGGGAGCACTGAGCCTGGGCCAGCTGAGGTGGAAGTAATGGAATCAGCAGCAGGAGAAGCACTGGGAAGTGAATCCTCCAGTATGGTCTGAAGGGTAGAAAGTATGGTTGTGGGGACTTCTTGACATCCAGAGAAGGCCGTAGACCTGGCTCATCATGTTAAGGCGTATTAACCAGATGCAGGGAAAGTGAATGAAAATGGTCAGGGCCCCTCAGATGTTCAGAATCTTGCTGAGCATTTGATGTAAATAAAGCTAATTACTTTGCAGGTTAACCATGAAACTCTACATGACATCCAGAGAAGGCCGTAGACCTGGCTCATCATGTTAAGGCGTATTAACCAGATGCAGGGAAAGTGAATGAAAATGGTCAGGGCCCCTCAGATGTTCAGAATCTTGCTGAGCATTTGATGTAAATATGCACGTGCACCCAGGTGTTCCTTGGCTATTATCTGGTGTAGATGCGCATGGGTACGTAGGTGTTTCTGGGTTGTCTGACTTGCATCCAGGTGCCCTGGGTTATCAGATTTAAGTATAAAGGACCAACAGCTCTGATCCACAGGGCCTCCGCCCCACCCCCATCCTGGGATGTCCCCAGTGGTGGCCACGGGGAGTCCGCTACTACTGCTGCTGCTGCTGAGGAAGCTGAGGACTGAGCTTGTGTCGTCTGCCAACAGTTCCCGCCCCACCCCCATCCTGGGATGTCCCCAGTGGTGGCCACGGGGAGTCCGCTACTGCTGCTGCTGCTGAGGAAGCTGAGGACTGAGCTTGTGTCGTCTGCCAACAGTTCCCGGTCTTTCCCAATTACCTAGCTTGTGGACCTGTGTGACAGGGGTCTGGTGATCCAGCCTGACATATAAGGGGTCTGTGACCCAGTCTGTACAATGGGTTTGAAGGGTCTGTGGGCTCTAGCCCAAGCAAGACAGTTGCCTAATCATACAATTGGCTGTGTTGGTAGGATTCTGATAATTGCCTTAGCAAGAAACCAGATAAAGCTGCAGAGGTCTAACAGGGAGGCCTCTTATTCAAATTGCTTTGGAGGAGACTCAGAAGGGCAGAACACCACTCTCATTCTGCTCTAGAATTTGGCATTCTCTCCTGAAAAAATGGTCTTGAATGGTCAAGTCCTTACTAGTGTTCCTGCTGTGGCCTTAAACAAATACTTTAGAATTCTACTATTTCCTACATTCATTTGATGGGAATCCTGCCCCTTCCCCCAATAGGTCAGGTGTAAGTGACTGAGCATCTGGAAGGAACAATGCTGACCCAGAGGAGGGAAGGTGTTCTAGAACAGCCACAGAGATGGAAAAGTAGAGGCAAAACCAAGAGCTCTCCTTCTGGCCGCCCTTGCTAGTGGGTCATCTGTTATGTATGGAAAGCAGTGAATTTGGGAGGAGACTGCAGAAGATATTTTAATATCAGGCTCATGAAAACCCTGTGAAAATCAAGCTTATGCCATGACTCTGTTTTGAGGTGTGGACAATAGCATCTCCTAAGGCTCTGAGGATCAACCATGATCTCCCTCTGCTGAGTTACCCGGGGTGCTAGGGGCAGGGTCCAGCTTGCACAATGGAGCCAAGAGAGACTGGAGAAGACAAGGAGCCTGGGGTACACCCAGGAGTCAGGGCAGAGGCCTTGCTGGGCTGGGCTAGTGAGAGGCTGGGCTGCAACACTGTCCCCTGTGGGCTCTGCAGTCCCGTGTCCTACAAGATATGTTATTGCTGCAGTTGGTCTAGTGTGGGAGAGCAAAGAGAGCAGCTTGAACAGTTCCACAGCTGGGAGTGGCATGACACAAGGCAGCTGCTTGCAACAACCACCCCGTTACTGAACACTCACTGCTTGTCAGTCTGTACACTGAGTGCCTTCCAAATAGCTTTTTGTTTGTGATATTACAACATTCCTGGGATGAAGGTTTTATTATCCCCATTTTACAGGTAAGTAAACTGAGTACCAGAGGGGTGAAGTCACTTGCCCAAGACTGCAGTGGCCTAGAACCAAGGTTGGTGTGACCCAGATCTTCAACCGGGAAGAGGAAGTGCTGTTGGATAGCCCCACCCACCAGACTTCTCCTGGGGCAGCAGTGGAGATCAGCCCTAGTCACTGAGAATTAGTTGGAATACTAAAAAAAGGTAACCGTTACAGTAATAACGATGAAGCAGCCAACATCGAGCGCATGTGCCTCTATGGGCAGAATGCTTTACAGGTATGAACTTACCCAGGCATCATAACCCTATAAAGTAAGTACAAGTATTATCTCCGTTCTGTGGTTGAGGCTATTGAAGATCAGAGAGGTAAACCAACAAAGCTAGGAAAGAGCAGAGCTTGGGCTTGACTGCAAAGCCTGGGCTCTAATCACTAGGGGACTCTGTGAGTGCGTGCGTGCATGTGTGTATGTGTATCCCAAATATATGAACGAAACTTATGCTCCTGGAAGATATGCCACTAGTGTCAGTGGGCACCAAATATTCCAGAAATCCCGTGCACCCCTGCAGGGCATATAAACCTGAGCTTGGGCAGCAGCCCTGATGATAAGGGTCCAGGTGGCCTGGAGATGGAGAAGATCCTGCGGTGTTCTCTTCCTTGTGTATGCTCCCAATTTGGGACTCTGACCTTGCCTCTTGGGGCTTTTCAGTCCCAAACTCTCCCAGGGAGCTCCAATATGAGCCCACAGGGTCTCCTGTGATCAGAAGCCTGGGCAGGTTGCTGCTGTGTAGGGCTATGAACAGGGACAGCTGAGTCTGCCAAGCTGCAAACTCAACTTTGCCCTTTGGCTCCACAGTTAAGGCCAACCCTGGCAGCCACATGTGGGCTATTGGTTTTGCTCCCACTCAAGGTAGCTACTATACCTGCAAGATCTTCCTTGGAAGAGACTAGTCTTGGAGAGCTGCTTCCTGGTTCGATTCTGAGTGACAGTCTGAAAACAAAAATTTTCACATGACCAGATGGGCTCTGGATTATCACAGGGGGAACTGAACATGGGTGTGTTTGGGGTTGGGAGACTGGACCTCTGTTGAGAGCTGCTATGGTCATGGAACCCAAGAATACTGTGAGATCTGCTTCAGATCAGTTACTTACCTCAAAGGTCTCCAGGGGATTTCCATGACTAAGAAACAATGGTTAATGAAGACAAAGTAAAAAGAGTGACCATGGCCCATCATTTACTGAGTACAGATGTGATGATTCTCATGATGACTCTACAAACTAGATACATTTTACTGATGAAGAAACTGAGGAGTGTGAGGTTAAGTAGCTTCCTCAAATTTATCGGGGTAGCAAGCTATAGAGAAAGTGGTCAAACCCAGGACAATCTGACCCTGAACTGGGGCTTTTAATCATTACACTGCCCTCCCTTCCTCTCATCAGGTGCCTCCAGAGAGGCACAAGGCAATGACATGCTATGAGGACTGGCACCTCAATAATTTTTTTAAAGCACTGATTAAGGACATCTGGGGGAAAATGACAAAGTGAAGCCGATGCCAGACTCTCCCTCTTCTAACAAAACCAACAATTATAAGAGCTTATGAGTAAAAGAATTCACCAGCTACAACTAAAAAAGAGAACGAGCATAATCTAAAGCCAGGAACTTCAAAAACTTGCAGACAAAAAGTGAAAAAGAGGATTCTGAAGGTGGACCAAGAGTTGCAACACAGCTTGGGGGAGGAGGGGGAATCCTTATCTTTCTCTCTTTTGAGTGGCCACAGATGCTGTGGAGAAACAGAGGAAAAGGGCATGATGCATATGCTGATGGGAATGAAGGTTCCATGGGGGCATGATTTGAAACCTGAGGGGATCCCTTTCTGGAATGGGATATAGCGCCCCACCGAAGTGAAGGAAACCCCGATGTAGGCCTCTTACTGGAGCCATGTGCATGAAACAGACTGCTTGCTTAGCTTCCATGCAGCCTGAGCCTTCCCCTCCCCAGGCTACAGAAGAGGGGAAAGACTAAGAACCCCTGGACCTCCCAGCCAGCAGGAGGAGAAAACCAGCCCCTCTCACACACACTGCAGGAGGGCCACATGTCTTCCTCCCTGTATCAGAGCCATGGAACATCCAGGTAGAGCCTCTCACCTCCCCAGGCTACAGAAGAGGGGAAAGACTAAGAACCCCTGGACCTCCCAGCCAGCAGGAGGAGAAAACCAGCCCCTCTCACACACACTGGAGGAGGGCCACATGTCTTCCTCCCTGTATCAGAGCCATGGAACATCCAGGTAGAGCCTCTCAAATGGGAGCAAGATGGAAAGAAATGGTGCGAGAACACAGCAACATCCTCTTACCAAAGAGGGAAAGAGAAAGGGGAGAGCACTGCCCAATGGCCTGACCCAGAAGGCAGCCACAGGAGTAGAGGAAATCCCCCAAGGGCTTTGAGCAGTGGAACAAGTTATTAAGAACTTGGGTCGAACAAAACAAAACCTGAAAAATGAGATGATAAGACAGAGGAATAAGGTGAAAAGAAAGATGGAAGACCTAGAGAAATAAACAAAGGACTGAAACACAAGAAGATTAAATGAGTACCTAAGTAGACACAAACCGTCCCAGCGATTGCTTATGAACAAGGTGATTACATCCATTATAAAGAAGCTAGTGGATATGTAGGACGGAAAGCATTCAGCACACGGATTCCTGGAATCCCTGGAAGACAGAACCCAAGAAATGCCACAGAAGAAGTAGTCAAAGATATAAACCAAAAGAATTCCTCTGAAATGAAGAAAGAGTACATGATAATCCAGAGAAATTCGGTACAGAACCCTCCACTCTGTATTCCCTTATTAAGCTTTTGAACTTCACTTATCAGGCAGACAAGTCATTTACAAGAGGGAAAAAAAGACTGGCTTGAGACTTCTGTACAGTAATACCCAATGCCAGAAGGCAATAGCACAAGGCCTGCAGTCCCGAGGGAGGGTAGCAAAGGGGCACAGCCCAGCACAGCTTGGCCCATCAGATGCAGACTTCCCATGAAAGAAATTGGGGGATGCAGGACCTCTGAGCTCTTTTTTGCAGGGTGGGTTGGGGTAACCTACTTTCTGATGAAATTCAGCTAAAGAAGAGGTTGATTTAAAATAAAGAACCCAGGCATGAAGAAGCTGTAGAGAAACAACAGGTGATAAGAATTGAATCCATTTAAAAATACTAAACAGTAGGAATTATGATTCCTGAACATGATGTTTATGTTATAAACTTGG